AAAATTTGATAAAAATTAATTGCAATAGTAAAAAGTTTTATTAGTAACAAAGCTTTATTTTTTATAAAAATTATATTATACTACAAAGATCATATAAAAAATAATCTACATATACTCTACTCTTAAACATCAAAAATGCATATGTAACTAGTTGTAACCTCCAATATAAAAAAATCTTTGAAGATATAAAAACTTTAATAAAATATTGCTCTTCAAAGATAAAAACTTTAATATAAAAAATAAACTTGTATATACTATAAATATTCTTAAATTTATAAATGTTTAAACATTAAACATGAACTAAAAAAATCTTAAATATAATAAACATAACAACACCAACTATACTAATTGTCTCAACAAATCTTTGATTTTGATTAGCTAATAGCTATAAATCTGCAAAATTTTATATAATTGTTTACTAATTTCTAATTAGAATTAACTTTTTTTATTTCAAAATAAAAAATTTCAAATAATAGTTACATAATAGCAGAAACAATTTTTACTTAATAAGGGCTGTAATTTTATTAGTAAAATTTCAAGTAATTCTAATCAAAAATTTTGATCGTCATTCTTAGCCAATCAAAATCGAGAATCTGCAAAAACAATTTTGCTAGAACACAGAACTGCTAAATATCTGCAACATATTGGTAAGATACCAGGAGGTAGATCAATACTGGTAACATAACAGTAAATGTCGAGATATTCTGGCCTAAGAGTAAGATATCAATATTTTACTATTATGTTATTAGTATCGATCTACCTTCCAGTATCTTACCAATATGTTACTAATATATAGTAGACTATCGGGTACATACCAGGAAACTCTCCTGGTATGTACCCAATATTCATTAATTTGACCTGCGAGTTGCTTGTAGAAAAGTTTCGAATTGTGTGGCATTCGCACAGTAAATTTAACTGAAAAATTAGCACTAGTTTAAAATTAAGTAGAAATTATTAGCCAATCATACGAGTGAAATCATAGTTATGATCAGTATGTAAATTCAATTTTGACTTTATGTTCTCACTAAGAACATTTTTTAAGTTCTTAATGTTCCCAAAATTTTTTAATGCTCTCAATATAAAAAAAATTTTTTTTTATTAACATATATAGAAAAATTAAATATGTATAATATCAAAAAAAAAAAACATTTAATGTTCTCAGATAGAGAACATATTTTAATAAATTATGTCTTAAAATTTGATTAGTGTTTTCAAAGAACAGTGAGAACATTGAATTTCACACATTGGTTATGGTCAGTGTCAGATATCTAATGTTCTCAGTATTCTCAAGAACATTAAAATATTTTTGAGAACACAATATTTAAAAATTATAAAAATAATCTAAAAACTTTTGAGAACATTAAAATCTTTCTAAGAACCTAAAATTTAAGAGAAAAAAAATATTTTTCAGATATCTAACATTGGTTACGATTCTAATCAGCCAATCACGTAAAAATTTATTGGGGAAGATTATCGATCACATGAAAATGACCTTATAAATATCGCGGATATTGCGGGCACTAACATTAGTGTTTCTACTACGCCGAGTTCAACGACATGGGGAAACCAAAGAATCAACCTCGTATCAAAGGAAATGTACAACCAGCTAGCAGCAGGTACATAAACTGTCAAATTAAATGCTTGTATATAAAATTAATTTTAATTCTTTTTTAGCCGTGCGGCTGAAATTATTGCAACGGGTGGATCTCAAGTTCCCGCAGGAAATTTGGGAGGTTTTGCCCAATTCTTGGGTGGAGCACCCTTTTCGGCGTCAAAATCCCTTTCAACTGAAGCCACAGTTGATAAGATGACCGATGTCAACTTGGATCCAACTTTAGTGCTTATTTTTAAAAGATTGTCCAAACGTGATACCACTACAAAAATGAAGGCTCTAGAGGAACTTGAAGCATATTTAAGAGGAAAGGAGGAAAATGAAATTGATTTGGTCAATATAACAGGTGTATGGGTAAATATTTTTTAATTTTATGCAAGAATTTTTTCTTTACCGATATAAATGTTAGATTTTTTTTTTTTAGTCCAAGTTTTTTGTCAAATTAGCAATTGAAGTGGATCGTAGAATACGCTATACAACATACACTTGCCATTTGTTAATAGTATCTAAGGTTAAAAAACGGCTTGCATCTAGTCTTAAAGAAATAATTGGTGTGTGGATAATATCATTATTTGATCAATACAAGGACGTTGCCCGAATGGCGATGGAATCTTTTCAAGTTCGTCGATTTATATTTTTTATTTCTATCTTCGGTTTTTTGTTGACTATTGAATATATGTTGGATAATATAATATTAAATGAATTTAATAAATGGTCTTTTATAATGTAGACAGCATTTCCTGCCGGAAAGCGAGTTGAAGTTCTAATCTTCTGTCAGATGGAAATTTTATCTTATATTTCGGACACGATAATCCACAAAACGCCAGAGACATTAAGTATGAATCACATTATCCTAGTCAGAGTTTTATATACTAATTGATGTTTGTTATTACTTATTAACATATCTCTCGCTAAAGGTGATCCTAGGTTTACATCAAAAGAAGATATGATTTCGAAATATGATAGAGTTGTTGCTTGTTCATATTACTCTCTTGCGCACTTGATAGGTTTCATCCTTTATAAGTTTATTGTAATCTATTGATTATTTATTTCTTTTATAAATTAATTATTTATTAATTGTAGACCAGCTAAATGAAGACTCATTGTTAAAAGCTGCACAACAGTATGATGATTTATTTGATAATCCAAAGACTTGGACAAATTTAACTAGCAGCAATCCTCTTGTCCGTAAATCATGTTACAATTTGATAAAGGTTTTGACTAATAAATGGCCAAGTAAGAACATTTGCGTTCCAATTATGTCTCCAGTGATATATGTCAAATATAGCACAGAATAGCATACGATATTAAATACGCCAAAATTTTTATGATAAGTCTCTATGTTGGCAATTAAAACTTTTGAAATCATATAAAATTTTCTAAGATTATACGTGAACGCAAAAATACCATTCTTGATGGATCGTCGGTAGTAAAAAAAAAAACGATTTACATACCGTTCTTGATAGGGTTCTAAAAAAGGGCCTCTAAAATACTATACTACTATATCAAAAGTATATAAAAAAAATTATAATTGGGATTTGTTTTAGGCCCCTATCAGGAACAGTACTCATTTTTTTTTTAACCCATCAAGAATAATATTTTTGCTACGTGAACACTGAAATTCTCGAAATTTATCTATTTCAAACTTTCATAACTTTTCTAAACTAACATTTAAAGACTCACTTTCACTAATTTAGATCAAATATAGTAGAGAGGACCCTACTATAAATTAATTGATTAATAATCAATTTTATTAATGAGGTTCCCTGTACTATTTGATCCACTAATTTTGACATATATCTGATAATTATAACTTTTTAATGGGTTAACTGATTAATTTTATTATACTTGAACAGAAAAGATTGAAGATCGTTTAGATGATTTTAGCACGATGTATTTAATGAAGATATTTAATGACAAAGATATTACCGTTTATGGCGATTTATGGGACTCTCTATTAGTATTCACTAATAGTGGGTAATTTTTATTTAAACGAGCGGTTTTGATGACAGTCAGTAATGATATTTAACGAATATTGAATTCATTTAAATAAAGGTTTTCCTGAGTCCTGGTTACTTGCCAGTAAAACAAAGCCAATGCTCAATAAATTCTATAATTTCCTTCGATCAGCATGCTACGGATCGGTTTCTGTCTCTTACCCGAATATTTTGGTATTAGTTAGTCATTTTCCTCACGAGGTAGAGATCCTTACTTTAGTCATTCATATTCAATCATTCAAAATTAGTATTAAAATGGTTTTAATTACATACATCAGCTCATAATTACCGATCCAAAATTTTATGATGAATTCTTTATAAATTTTTGGAAGGGCTTGTCAAATGCAACAATTAAGTGTTCCAATTCCGGCATATTTTTACAGGCTTATTGCGAATGTTTATTGTATTTTATATGTCAATTAGAGTGAGTATTTTGGGTCAAAGTTTGTTCTCTATAATCATAATAAAATATTTTGCTCATATACTTACACATATGTCGTCTAGCAAGTCTGAAAATGAAAAGCAAACACGAGCCTATTTACTTGAATGTAAATTTTTTGAGTTACTCAAGTTATATTTTACGGATTACAAGGTAATACGTTTTCTACTTTAATATCAAATGATGTTTTTACTGATCTCAAGTTTAAGGTTTGGCTCATCTGTATAATAGTCTTGTGAAAAGTTCCAAGTTCAACAAATGTGCTCAATTCTTGCAAACAATATGAATCAATTAACTATAAACTTGGAAGGGACAGGTTGAGTTATTGATATTTTAGTTTTGCCTATTTTGTTATTTAAATAATTATTTATGCTTTATTGATTGAAATGTTCTGATGGTATTTTTTATAATTAAGATGTGTCGGATATATTGCCACATAAATTGCAAAGTCTTATTGTCAATGTGATAAACGATGATACTATTTTAAATTCTGAATCCAAGTTAGAAGATAATTTCAAAGAATTTTGTCAAAGACTGGCTGATTTCTTTGTTGCTTTATCATCAATGGTTAAAACTGAGAGTAGACAAGAAAATTCCAATGATGCGGTTACAAACATGGTATGTGATTTTAGTCCTCTACTATAGCAGAACAATATAAGCTAAGTTATTTTTATAGGTTTCTCTGTTAGCCGAAGATGTTTTTTGTGTTTCGTTATCAAAATGCAAAGAAAATAATGGTAAGATCAATTATTGTATTATATAAGGTCTTTGTTTATTAAACATGAAAGTAGTATTTATTGTTGATGATATTCAAAGGTTATTCTGCGGGGTTATGTCTTTTATTATCCAATTTGAGCAAGAATTTCATTAGCATTCTTGTGTCCAGAAACGCTTCAAATCAGGCATGCATATTAGCTTTTAATAATTGTTAAACTCATTATTATTATTATTATTATTATTATTATTAAGCTTTAAATGACAATTTCAGGCACTAAAAAGCTTCCTTAGCGACTCACTTATTGATATTGTTAGAACAGCACCCATGACTTGTTTGGATTATGTGCTTGATTTATTTGTTTCATGTTTGTCATGTAACACGGAATTTCCAGAAGCTCAATGCAATTGGAATAGGCTTGTACAATCCTTTCTTGAAATAGAACCGTTGGAGTCAAAACTGGATGGACTCTATATTTTGGTCTCTAAAGTGGGTCTTCAAATTATTGAAGAATAACAACCTTTTTTTAAAACTTACCCGATTTTTTTTTTCTCCCTTAGGTTGTTGATATAAAAACCTCCATCTCTTTTTTAGTTGAACAATTAAATGAATATTTGATTGCTCTTAGCAATCAGTCGTTGTATCAACATTTTGGATCCACTACAAGAACAAAAATCGAAAATCTACTATGTATTGTGTTCTTATTTAAAGGTAAGATTTTTCATGATAATATATCTTAATTATATTTCGAATTTGCACGACTGACAAGAATAACAATAAATAAATAAAGGTTCGTTATTAATGTCTGAAACCAAGTTAAAAATTCTGAATGACTTGGCGAAAGCAATCATTAGTTGTTCGAATGGTTACTATATAGTTGAAGATTCGATCATATCCAATGAAGTTGCGTTATCGGTTTTGCATATATTTGCAAAACTATTTAAAGATGGAGAATTCATCGAATTTTTTCTATGTTCAGATTTGCTGCTAGTTTCAGGACAAATCTTTGAGTTAACCTTTGTAAATCCCCATGAAGGTTTTAACACAGAGGTCATAAATAATATTCAGCAATTGGCCCAGGAGTGTTGGGATCGAATTGTAATATCATCACGATCTCATCCTCGAGAGGCTATCTTAATAAACAACGTATCACGACAAATAAAATCATCATTGCTAAATGCTCATTATTCTGCAAGGTATAATTAATTGATATTCCTATTTAAATCCTCAGTTATACATAATTTAATGGCTTATTCGCTCTTATATAGTCCTACAGATTTTGCATTACGTGTAAAGAAGCTATGTTCATTTTATGAAAATGATTGTTTAAAATCGCAGGAAATCATCAAATTATTTCATATAGACAATGAGATATGGCGCGAACTCAGTGAACCTTTTCTTTCTTCGATTGACCCATCTCTAAGTATCGTTGATCCAATGATACTACCGTTTAATATTGGTCAACGAAATGGTCAGCAAAATGATGGCCAAACAACTATCGTTGCTTATGATTCATATGGGTTGAGTGTTTATGGACGCTTAGGCCTCTTTTTGATCGAACTTATTCATAAAATTGGTGTAGATTCTTTTTTTTTTGGGAGTCATAAGAAAATAGATAAACAGGATGATATATCATATTCACATTGTAATCGAATTCTTTTGGAATTGTTGCTTGTATATGTGTTGTGTACGGACATTCGTCGTTCCCGTAAAAGTGATCACCATTTGTGGGACGCCTTTAATGTAGAGGAGAGTGATTATCGCGGATTCAAAGCATTTTTGGTGGATGTTCGTTTGATCGTCAAAAACTACACTTTACAAATGTTACAAAATGAACAATTAGATGTTAAATTCATTTTAAACAACCTATACTCAACTGTGATTTCCCACAATGTTCAACATAATGGTATATCGGGTTTGCTTTGTGAGGCAGTAAAAAGATCACATAGCGAGAATTCTGTGTATTGGGCGAGAGTTTTACATATTTTGTACTCCGAAGTAATTTCTGCAGCAAGTATTTCCTTCAAGCAAGCTGAAGAATTTTTAGATGTGATAAAATTGGAGCATAGTAAGTTAAATCAATTTACATGCAATATTCATTATAAAACTGAAATAATTTATTTATTATAATATTACTTTTTTAAGTGAATTTGATAACAAAAATGGCATTTATTTTATCGTTGAAAAGTTTTCTTGATGCTTCCACAAAATATAAAGATTTCCAAAATGACTTGGCTGTAAAACTGATCAGCTTGGATCCAGTGGAAATATTTCGCACAGAAAGTTTAGAGAACAATGATGGTATGATGGTGTAATAAAACAGCTTGTGAATTTGTTATCAGTATAATTAATATTTTTTATACACTTTTGCTCGTTCCAGGGTTGATGTGTCTTTGTTTGTTAATAACTTCAACTTCAAAAGAAGATGAAATTTTTTTATCTCCAGATAGAAGTATTAATTTATTGATTAGAATTCAGGAATGGAGCAATATTGTGGATCCAAATATCTGGTCTATACCCACGTTTTCCTCAATACATATTTTGATTGCCAAACTTTTGTGCCCTCTTGTAACGACTATACAAGAATTTAGTGGAAATCATTGGAATTTCATTTTTGAACTTCTTCAATATTGGTTACAAGTATGTTTACAATTTAAATACATATATTTGGAACATTGAAGTCTCTAATCTAATTTATATAAATATTTCTTAGGAAACTTCACGATTAGAACTTTTATATGAAGCAATTCACATATTCCGTCAACTAAATAGTATAGCTGCGTACTCTACTAATAAAAGTGATATCTACACTGTATGTTTAAGTAAAACTTATTATTTTTAACCATTTTCATCATTATTCACATTTATTTGTGCGTTTTATAGGACAACTCTGCAGAAGACACCAACAATAGTTTGACTTCCAAGCTGATTACCTATAAAACGTTACTTTATCAACAAATATCTTTATTATTGTTCCAAGAAAAAGGTTTAATTACATTTCTTTTTATAAGACTTGTGTTTGGATATCGTCTAATGCTTAATTTCTATAGCTCATCGGGACGAGGTTTTTTCATATCAATACTGTACATATTTGGAAATTTTATGCGAAGTATGTCATGATTTGCCAAAAGAAATTCTTGCGAATAAGAAAGATGAGGTATGTTATTAAAAATGACTTTTTGTCTATTATACCCGATTATACAATTTGCTTTATTATTACCTTTTCTAGCTTTATGCCCTGTTACTTATTCCTCATGAGGGAATCCAAAAATGTGCATACAAGCTCGCACATATCTTGGTTAACGAACAAGTCTTGTCTGAATGGTTTGAATTTCTCGGAACTTCAGGTAAATCTGATTTTTATAGTACGATAGGTAACTACTTTTTCATTTTACTGAATTATCGCGTTTTCTTTACCTAGACGAATCGATTCCCGTACAGTTTGATCAGGGTTTGAAGTCCGTGCTCATTGAAATGCATCAAAATGATAATTTAAACTTAATGCATACAGTAAATCCTAATTCTTTTGTACGTTTTCGTATATTTCTTTTGGATATTTGTGTATTCAACCATTTACATTGGATTCCTTACACTCATTTATTTGGTTTATTGTAGGTCGTGCATAAAAAATTTGGATATTTACTTGCTTGGATGCTTATTTTTGACTACTTTAATCATGCCGTAATTATATATATATTTATATATAGGGTTCCAAATTATAATAAAGATTGATTTCCCAGCTTCTCTATTTGTAGACATCAAATTTCAAGTCACAGCTTATCTTATGCATTAAAGAGATGGATATTAGCTCAAAATTCTTCTACCAAATATTTGAGACACTTGGCCATATGGGACAAACAACGCCTTACAATTTGTCAAAATGGGATGTTAGAGAATTCTATATTGAAGGTATTATTAACCGGTTTGGTATACTAATCTTTCATCTAAATACTTGTGTTATTGCAAAGTTCTAATTTATATTATTTTCTATAGCTTTTGAACTTCAATTTAGTGCTGTATTTGGTTTTCCTTTGCTTTGTGCACATTTATACTATCGATCTCTTAGACAAATTCCTTCAATTGTTAGGTTGGAGTTAAATAACTTTATCGCTAGATATTATTAATATTGGGGTTTTGACTTTTTTTTTTTTTTACAATGTCAACAATAGAACGTGGTGGTCAGACTGTAAAAAACGTCAATTGAGTATCAGTGTCGATAGGTATGCCTACATTAATAATTATCCATTTTAATTACTATATGTTTTAAATATACCTATCCTTTTTTTTTAGCTACACGGAGAAATATTTTAGTCCAATAATAATCCAAGGCCAACTTGATATGCTTCAAAGTGAAGATGTCAAGTCACAACTAGAAGACGAAAAATTTACTATCAGAATTGCTCGTAGCTCTAACGAAGTAATTGCCGCTTTTAATGTTGATGAATATATAATGGAACTTAGTGTTCGAATGCCAAATAATTTCCCGTTGCGCCAAGCAGAGTTTAGCACACTTGAAAGGATGGGTACAACGGAAGTTAAAGATCTAAAATGGGCAAAATTACCAGTTCAGACCATAGTTAATTCCCAGGTATTGCTTTTAATCCACTATTGATGTAGCTTATTATTTTATTCTGATGAGTAATAAGTTAATATTTATTTTTAAACATTTAGAACAGCAATTTGGACGTAGCATTGAATTTATTCAAGAATAATATCAATCTTCGATTCCGCGGAGTCGAAGATTGTACTATTTGCTACTCTGTAGTGAGTCTTGATGATCGGTCATTACCCACCAAAAAGTGTAATACATGTAAAAACCGATTTCATGCGTCATGTCTTTATAAAGTAAGTACTAACAAATCATCAATTTATTTGTTTTCGAATGAGAAATGCTTACCAATATACACACTATAGTGGTTCCGAAGTTCGAATTCGACAAGTTGTCCGCTTTGCAGAAGATTATTTTAACGAATTTACAAATTGCGGTTATGTAATTTTAACTCGAAAATATATAAATTTATTTCAATTCAAAAACCAACATTGTACAGTACGCGACACTCAAAGACTACACAAACTTTAAATTTTAAAAGGAAGCTGTTATTTTTGTAGCTAAATCAATTTATTACGACTTAGCAACCTTATTTTTTAAAAAGTTATAATAATTTTTTAAAATAGAACAATATAGCTTAAAAATATTGTATTTTATATGATTGTATATAAAAATGGGACATAACAAAAAGCCAATTAAATTGGTTTAAATTTATATATTAAAATTTAAAAAACATTTTAACCAATCAAAATTTAAGAAAGTTGGCCAATCAAAATTAAGTAACTTTAAAACATCAAAAAATCAATGTGTTTTAAAATAAATTAAAGTCTTAAATTTTTGAATTTTAAAAATGGGAAAAATGTAGTCTTTAAGTGTCTCGCACTGTACTTATTTTTTTCTTGATTTTGATTGACAGTTATGGTGTAATCTAGTTTTTAAAAAATCCAATAGATACTGTATTATATGTCTTTCAGATCATTCGAAATCTGTATTGGTGTTAGAATGCCATTACCATGGCAATAATTATCCACTTAGCAATATTTCTATTCAGCGCGCGGTTTTTTTCTGTGATTTTATGTAAAATGTTAACAGGGATGAAAATGAGTAAACTTGCCTATATGAAAATAAGTAACCTACCTAGCATTCTTTACTTTTTTTGATGTCAAAAAAATTAAGAAATGTTGAATTATATCGTCGCCAGCATGAGAATGTTTAATTTTACGTCTCACATTTAAGGTAGTGATATGAACCGATATAAAGTGGTACAGTGGATTGTATAGCAGTTTATTAAATCTGATTGGTTGATTACGGCTTGCGCTATCGCTATATATATCAATTTCATAAAGCAAATAGTGGCGGCTAAAGCGGAGCGAGTTTTAGGGTTACCTTAATGATGTGGGTTATATAGAAGGATTTACTAATTTTCCCCCAAGTTCCTATTGACTAAAATTATTCGCACCAAATTACATGTCATTTTATCCTTAAAAAGTTAAGTTTAATGTCAGAATTAATAGACAATTTTATAGAAAAATCTTGCAAGGAATTTTTTTTTGTTAGTACGCAAAAGACGATTTCTTAGACAAATTTTGAGATAAATGAGTCTTCAAAAATAAGCGTTTGTTTTTTTTTTTAATTTCTATGCTACACCTGATCTTGTTCACGTTATTTAAGATCGTCGATTTTATCCAATTAGAAATGCGATTACTCACAACCAATAGTGACTTGAAGACAAATTGGTGGACCCTATATATAATCAAGAATGTAATTTATGCAGTATGTAGAATTAATTTCGATTTAGGCGACCCCTACAAATATTTATATGAATGATCACGAGCATAAAAAATTTAACATAAAGTTTTAAAACTTTGCAACGATATTAGATATAAAACTTTAATAACATTTAAACAAAACTTCATAATAATATTTAACGTAAAACTTTGTTTATAATATTTAGGGGAATTTACAAATAAGGGCCCGGAAAGTGAAAATAATTACAAATACGGGCCCAAATTAAAAATAATTAATTACATAAAAGGGCCTAATTTTTAAAAAACATTACATATAAGGGCCCAAAAATAACAGCGACATTATTCAAGCCTATTGTTTGATCGTTATTAGTAATTATGAAATACATAATAAATGGAATGATCGATTGTAAATTAGTAATTGTCACGGCTTTTGCTGGAAATTAGGGACCACGATTTAAAAATATAAACCCTGTCAAAATTCACCTATGCTCTTTTATGATTAAAACTAATTCTAAATTCTAACCTAACAGTAAAAAAAAAAAAAGCTAAAAAAAAGCATCCCAAAATTTATTATTAAAATGTTTAAAATTTTTAGCATCAGCCATTTCCAGTTTTAGTCATGATAGTAATTATAAACAAGAAAAGAAATTTTTTAAATTTAATAAATTTCATTTTTTTTATATAAACTTAGGTATAATTATAATAAACCATTATGATATCAAGTAAGCATTGTGAATTGGAATAACATTTTCTAATATGAAAATAATTGTTTTGGTCTTGAAAGTTACTCTGTTGAAACTTCATTATCTTATAAATAATTATGTTAGTTTAACATTATTTTTTATAAAATATTTAAGCAAAAATGATTGTAGTCAGCATTTCATTTATTTTTTTATTTAATAATTAATATTTAAATAACTTTAAATATCTATAATAAAGCAAACAATAATTTTATAATTATTTTTTATTGTTATAAGTCAAATAATTATAGTATATGATGGTATAGTAGTTTTATAATTATGTTTTTTATTTATCAATAAAGTTAGATTTTTATATGTAATATTTTTTAAAAACTAAATTTTTATATAATTATTTTAAATTTAGATTTGTATTTGTAATTATTTTTATTTTCTGGAGGTTTTTTTTTAAAAAAAATATTAAGATAAATACTTACAACTTAGAATTTTATTAATAGTATACTTAGCTAATAATTACATTACAATTACAGAAGGTAACTATGAAAAAAGTGTACAACTAGTTACTTGTACAACTTTAGTTGTTTTCTAATTTAAGTAGTTCATTTGAAGGTTCTATACTAGCTGTTATATCTAAAAACTGCTTGTAAGTTTTTTATTTAAACACTTTAGTTCTGTATTCACCTATTTATTTATATCTATTAATAGAACTTATTATTAAACTAAGTAGGTAGCAATATATATATATTGCTACCTACTTACATTAGGTTGTTACCTACTTATGAGTATATATTGTTATCTA